GCTTGTCGCCTCGGAACAAAGCCAACCTGAACCTGAGAGTAGATACGTATTAATTTGGGTGCTCAGAACCTTTCCCACAATCTTCAAGTCCACATTTAGCAGTGAGATCGGTCTGAAAGCTTGCGGTTCAAAGGCATCTTCAGATTTATTAGGGATCATAGTAATATGCGCCTGAAGAGACTCCAAAGAAAGCCGGGAACCCTGCTTCAATGAATTGAAAAAGGCCACCAAGTGAGGAACCAGAACGGTGGTAAATTTTTTATAGTAGAGCCCAGAAAACCTGGAGCCTTGGAGGCCTTCAAAGATTTGATGGCTTGGTAGAGTTCAGATTTGGAGATATCCGCATTCAGGGCATCCCGGGCTGTAACGGATAAGGAGGGTAGGTGCAGCTCAGCGAAAAAATTATCAGCATGTTCCATGACAAAGGTATTTGGTTTCTGGTAAAGGGAGGACAAAAAATCTGCAAATCTACCGGTATGTGTAATCTTCACAGGGTCCGAGGTAAGGCCACTGCTCCTCACTCAGTGTTGAACAGGTTTATGCGTGCGGCATATCGAATTAAGTGTCTTGGCCAACATTGGCCCTGGTTTATTGGCGCATGTATAAAACCTATGTTCGGCCCAATGCAAGGCCTTCTCAGCCCGTGTAGAGGAAAGAAGATCAAGTTCAGATGTCACCACATCTCAAGCTTTCCTATTGACCGTAGTCGGGCAGGCTTTCCAGGTAGCGTCTACCACGGCCAATCGCGAAGTCAATTCTAACATACTCTTCTCTCTGGCCTGTTTCCTGGACGAGGCAATCTGAATCAGGTGACCCCTAATGGTGGCTTTGAGAGACGGCCAAGGATACAGAACCCACATTGTCCGTAAAATAGGATTGAATGTGCGAAAGAACCTGGGAGCAAGAAGTGAGTGGAGAGCAGGGATTCATTGGGGTTTATTTACTAAAGCTGGAGAGTCCAAAATCAGACTCCCTTCTGCACAGAAACCAATCAGCTTCCAGGTTTCATTGCCAAAGCTTCATTGAACAAGCTGAGGTTAGAAGCTGATTGGTTTCTATGCAGAAGGGAGTCTGATTTTGGACTCTCCAGCTTTAGTAAATAAACCCCATTGAGTCTCCACAGAAAAGAGGGCTGAGCCATACCAGAAAGACACAGGGAAAAATCCAACGGGCCATGAACAGACCAGGGCGAGGTTGAGATGACAATCTTTTGAATTAAAGATAAATGTTGGAAAGAAATGAAGACGTGATATTTTCTACAAAAACTCAGGTGTGGAGCCGAATAAAAAGTGTATTCCTGCGACAGGATCTTATTTCATTGGCCATTCAGATAGACTACAGGCTGCGGGAACGCAGGTTTGAAAGAACCAGCCAGGGTCAGAGAACAACATGGCACCCTTCCAGGGAGCAGTCCAACCTACGCTACAGGGAAACCAGACTCCAGAACCTGTGGATACCCACGAGCCCATGCAGCTGGGACTGGCTCGGCCGTCTCTATCATCCGAGGAACGCCAGAGGAGACGGTCCAAAAACCTCTGCCTGTATTGTGGAGAAGCCGGTCACATGGTGCGTTCCTGTCCGCTGAAAGCGAGTAAGTCTGCCTCTATTTTTTCTTCTATATCTGCTGAAAATATTAAACAGTCCAGTTACTTAGCTTCCTTGGTTGCGGGCCCATAACCCCCAGATTGATTGGGAAAGCGGTTCCGTTCAGTTCCTCTCCCCATATTGTCAGGAACACTGCCACGCATCGCGCCCCGCAGCTCCCCAATTTCTCCTATGCTTGGATGGAGACTCCAATCTAAGACAGGTCGTCCCTTCGGCCTACCACAGTTTCCTGGATGTCATCAGCAAACGGGGGGCAGATATCCTGCCTCCACACCGAACATATGACTGCCCCATTGACCTTCTACCTGGCTCAGAGATTCCGTTCAGTCGAATTTTTCCCCTGTCCAAGTTAGAATTAGGGGTTCTCAAGGAGTACATCGACGAGAACCTCCAAAAGGGGTTCATCCGCCCCTCCACTTCTCCAGCAGGGGCTGGAATCTTCTTTGTAGAAAAGAAGGATAAGTCCCTGAGACCCTGCATTAATTATCGCGAGCTAAACAAGGTCACGAAAAAAAATCGCAATACACTGCCCCTGGTCCCAGAACTCTTCCAGAGACTGAAATCCGCAGCCATTTTTACAAAACTAGATTTGAGGGGTGCATATAATCTGGTCTGTATAAGGGAGGGGAACGAGTGGAAAACGGCATTTCGTACTCGATTTGGCCATTTAGAATATTTGGTCATGCCATTCGGACTCTGCAATGCCCCGGCCACGTTCTAACATTTCATTAATGATATATTCAGAGACTATCTTGATATTTTTGTGGTTGTCTATTTGGACGACATATTAATATTCTCTCCCTCACTCGAAGATAGGGGTCATGTGACAAGTGTGTTGGAACGATTACGCCAACACGGTCTGTATGCCAAAGCTGACAAGTGCAGTTTCGAGCAGCACAGTATTGCATTCCTGGGGCTGATCATCTCCACCACGGGGGTCGCGATGGATCCTCAGAAGGTCTCAGCGATCTTGGACTGGCCAGTACCCACGGATAAGAAAGGCATACAACGCTTTATTGGGTTTGCTAACTTTTATAGAAAGTTTATCAGGAACTTCTCTGGTCTGGTCTCCCCCATTACCGAGTTGACCAAACAAGGGGTCCGCTTCAAATGGACGCCCTAGGCTCAGGCAGCATTCGAGTCTCTAAAGAAATTATTTACCACCGCTCCCATCCTCAGTCATCCTGATTCCTCTCTGCCTTATGTCCTGGAAGTAGATGCCTCAGAAAACGCAGTAGGGGGCCATCCTGTCCCAGAGGAAGGGCACCAAGGAACTTCTGCACCCAGTGGCATTCTTCTCGAGGAAACTTTCATCGGCAGAAAGGAACTACGACATTGGAGATCGAGAACTGTTGGCTATAAAGACCGCATTAGAGGAGTGGAGATACCTGCTGGAAGGAGCCACGCATCCTATTCTGATTTTTACCGACCATAAGAATCTAGAATATTTGAGAACAGCAAAACGCTTACGACTACGCCAAGCGAGGTGGGCACTCTTTCTCCCGATTCTCCTTCCACATTACGTACAGACCAGGCTCCAAAAACACAAAGCCCGACGCCCTCTCACGCATGTTTGAGGATCCTGAGGTAGTTCCAAAGCCAGATACCATCTTGTCTTCAGGGAACTTTCTTGCCCTCCAGACGTAGCTACGTTCTAGGCTGCAAGATGCATCCCTGGGTATGCCAACCCTACCTGGGGTGTCCCTCTGGAGCAAGGGAGGACTCGTATGGAAGGAAGGACTAATCGTGTTATTAGAAGAGGTCCGAACATTGGTCCTGGGACACTGCCATGATCATCCGATGGCAGGTCATTTCGGGCTGGCGAAGACTCTCGAATGGCTCCAGCGCATGTTCTTGTGGCCAAGCATGATCAAGGATTGTGAACTCTACATTAAGTCCTGCGCCATTTGTCAAAGGAACAAACCGTCCAGGAGCAAGGCCTGGGGTCTGCTACGCCCACTACCTATACCCGATCGACCGGGGCAAATGATTGTGATCGACTTTATAGTTAAGCTTCCTCCGTCCCAGGGCCACACCGCGATCTTCATGATCGTGGACCGTTTGTCAAAATTGGCCCACTTTCTACCCTTGAAGAACACGCCATCAGCTCTTGAAACTGCGTAAATCTTCATACGAGAAGTAGTGAGGCTGCATGGAGTCCCTGAAGACATCGTCTCGGATCGAGGAGTCCAGTTTATTTCAAAGTTCTGGAGGGCATTATGTGAAGCATTGGGTATCAGATTGTCTCTCTCCTCTGCTTACCACCCACAGACTAATGGGCAGACGGAGAGGACAAACAAAACACTGAACAGTACTTGAGATCCTACACGTCCTTCCTGCAGGATGATTGGCTGGCACTCCTACCACTAGCACAATTCGCCTACAATAACGCGAACCATTCAGCCACAGGGCAATCTCCGTTTCTTGCGCACTATGGGTTCCATCCCACATTCCTGCCCGGTCTGGTTGCCGGAAGTTCAGTCCCTGCCACTCAAAGCATGCTCAATTTCTTTTCTACCAATAACAAGGTGCTGCAGGAAGCTATTTCAAGAGCCCAAGAAGACAACAAAAAAAAACCTTCGATCGGAAGCGAAGGGGGGAACTAGTGTTGCAACCTGGGGATCAGGTCTGGTTGGCAACAACAAATTTGAAAATGTCTTGTCCATCGAAGAAACTGGGACCGAAGTTTGTGGGTCCATTCCGAGTGAAGCGAATGATTAACAAAGTGGCGTATGAACTGGTTCTTTCAGAGACTTTCAAAATCCACCCAGTTTTTCATGTATCACTTCTGAAGCCAGCTGTGCCAGACCCCTTCCCGGATTGGGAGTCCAGACCTCCAGAGGCTATAACCATTGAGGAACAGGAGGAATTTGAGGTGGAAGCAATTCTGAACTGCCGGAAAAGGGGGGGCCAGACTCAGTTCTTGATCAAATGGAAGGGTTATGGTCCTGAGGAAAACTCATGGGAACCGGCCCAAAATGTTCATGCCCCCAGGCTTATCCGGAAGTTTTATCGTAGTCACCCACGGTGGAGAGTTCAGTTGGGCACCCGGAGGTTGCCCGTAGGGGAGGGGCAATGTCAGGAGCCGCCACGATCCGCGGCTCGGCACAGGTGTACTGTGCCCGTTCACGCTAGTGTACGGCGCTAGGTCCTAGCCGGCCACGGCGGAGACGGAACCCGAGCATGCGCACTCGGAGCCGCAGGTGCGCGCCTGACACCAATGACAGTGCAGGGTGCGATATTTAAAATCGCCCTGCGCTGACATGTATTGCCGTTTGGTCTCCCTGTGTTCCTGATCCTGTTACCGTGATTCTTGATCGTTGCTGACTCGGATTGTTCCTGACCTTGCTGTTCTCTCCTGCTCTGACCCCTGGCTTGCCTGACCTCCCTCCTGGATGCCCCCTTGTGGATCTGATCTTCTGTTGCTGACTTGGCGTGTGACCCGACCATTCTCTGCCCGCTGCTTTGTACCGCACTGCTTCCACGGCTACCGACTCGGCTGGTCTGACCATGCTCTTGCTCATCCATCCATCCACCTTGCCCTGGCATATCCGCCTCTTCACATCAGGCTCTCACCCTGCAGGAACCTCTGGCGGATTCCTCTACCACGGGTAGGTGTACTCAGGAGCCGCAACCTGGTCTCGGTTCGCTCCAAATCCATCCCCACCATCAGGGGCCCTGCTGAACAAGCAGACCGGGACTTAGACTCCGCGCTCTGGGGAAACCTGACCAGTGGGCTGCTAGAGGTACCGCCAGGCGGTTCCTTACAGGCTGAAGCAGAGAAAAAGGTCGGATAATGGCCAGAGAGGTGGCGCGGAGGATTGAGAAAACCTTGTCTCCTGCAGACAAACTATATCCACATCTTGGGACTTAAGATGATGGAACACTTTAGAACGCTTGGTTGGAAAATTAAAGCCATTGATATTTTGAGAAAAAAATCTTTAAAGGTTTTAAAGCCACACTGAGTCAAGGGAATTCAGCTGCCAAACTATGCTAAGAATAACAGTCCAATCCTCAAATGTAACCTTACCCTGGGCTGCCCTGGATCCGTGAGAAAAGAACAAAAAAAAACAGACAAGAAAGCATCCGCATAAACAAAATTCAGCTCTAACAGTAAAAATTGGCAGAAACAAAACAAAGAAACCAAGGGGATAGGACACAAAGCTTACAAACATTTTGCCTACCCGAGGTGAGATGAGTCGCTAGTCTGGAGGTGGTGGTGTGAAGCTCCTGCTGCAGCATGGTCTTAAACCTGGCCAGGAGGTCTGCGTCCCGCAAGGGGAGCTGTGGGAGGTCTGTGGGGATTTCAGGCAGGCTCTCCAGGTCCGAAGGGGTGTCCAGGCCGCCCAAGGGTAGCGGTGGGGAAGCTGCCGAAATCGAGGCCGGGGCTTCTGCAGGCGAGTAGGCCGCATCACTGGACCGGTCCGGCAATCAAGCGCTGGAGGCATGGGAGGCCACCGATTTCTTCCCCATAGGTGGTGGGGGGGGGGTGGTCAGCGGAGGACGAGGGAAAGGGGACAGAACAGGCTCCCCAGGAGGCAGAGAAGGAGCTTATGTGCCCGGTGGTAGAGGAGCCCGGCTTCCAGGCGGCCATCCTCATGTCCTCATGCGTTGCTCACGAGCTCCCCAAATTCAAAAATGTTTGTCGTTTTTAACACAAATATCTTGTATTGTGCGTATACTGTTATGTTTCCAATTTGAGATATCTATGATAGGCATTATGACTTCTAAGGCTGTTATAGGTATAGGAAGAGGATTTATTTGGAGAGGATCTATAGGCATGGATTTTAAGGATTTCCAGGCTTCAATTGAGGCTCGTACAGTTGGTGTTGTTTTACTAGTGGGTATCTTTTGTCACGAGCTCGCTAGTAGTATGGCGCTTAACCTACCTGGCGGTATTCCCGAGTGTAGCTCGGGGTAAAGTTTCAGCACCAAAAGCAGTAACCCCGAGCTACACTTGGGAATACCCTGCAGCGTTGCTCCGGGGATCCCTTCTGCACTTACCGTGTCCTTCGCTCCAGCGACGTCCCCCCTGCAGCGTCCCCGGCCATCTCCTCCGGCCGATGAGGGCATCTCTCTTCTGTTCCCTGCGAAGTCGGGGCGTACGGGGACGGAACTGGCTTGAAATTTAAAAATGTTAAAAAGTGACATTCACTAAATACACTAAAATCTCATAGTAAAACATTACCATATCAAACCATTTCACATACATTTTATCCCTAGTGCTTTGTCCTGTGCCCTGCCTGCATTTTTACTGTTCTTTCTGTCTGGAAGCTGAGAAATGTCCATGCGTCCAAAAAGCATCCCATTAGGTCAAAATCGGTTTTAGACCAGTTAGAGAACAGCGATAGTAAATTAGAACCACTTGCATAATTGAGTGATAATGATTCGTGGGGAAATTCGTCATAAGACACTGAAAACGATTTTGCAAGATAAGTGATGTGCGAACTTGGTGCTCTATTTCAAATTTCAGTGTTTTTGGTTTGATTATATTATTGAATTAAATTTATTATTATTATATTTTTTTATTTTTTATGATTATTTTTTATATTATAATTTATTATTTCGTATTTCAAATTTTAACATACCCGGGAAGTTTACTAGACTCTTGTTCTGACAGATTTCAGTGAGTTATTCCTAAAAACTACAGTCCTGCAATAAAAAAAAACAACATATTTCCATGCAAAATAATGTATCGCTTTGAGCACAGAAATACTGACATAATCAGACCGCTAGGAAGGTTAAATTTTGTAGTGGAGGCTAGAATTTTTTCAATGTCACCCCATTTTGTATCATCTTTCACTATAAACCAATGTTTGAGTTGGTCTAATAATGATGCTTTGTGAAAGTGCCTAATGTCAACAAATCCCATTCCTCCTATTTTTTTTGTGTTTGATTAATATATTATGTGAGCATCTAGGTCTCCTATTTCCCAGATGTATTTTTTGAGCATGGATTGTAGTTTTGTTAGATATGAAGATTTAATTATGATTGGAATTGATCTAAATAGATATAAAATCTGTGGCAATATTAACATTTTAAATGCGGCCAGTCTGCCAGACCAGGATAGTTCATGTTTAGCCATTTGATTAAGGTGGGTTTGAATTTTTGGAATGAATTTTAGAATAATTGAGAGTTCCTAGGTTAGAGGTTTTGTTTGTCAACAATATTCCAAGATAAGGAATGGCTTCATTTTCCCAGATGTAGGGAAATCTGTTTTGGAGGTGCATTTTTAGAATGTGATCTACACCCAGATTTAGGATATTAGATTTGGATGCATTTATTTTATAATATGAAATATTACTGAATTGTATGAGAGTTTTGTTGAATTGCTGCTAAAGAAGTAGAGGGATTAGTTGGCATTAAAATGATGTCATCCACAAAGAGTGTTCTTTTGTGGTGGTTTTTACCTACAATGTGCATTCTTGTCTGGTACCATTTGTAATTAAGAATGGTTTGGATAGCATGTTAGATACATAGACTTGTGCAGAAGGATTTGAGTAAAGTGCTGAAATAGCATTAATAATTGTTCCTGAAAATCCAAATTTATGCAGTACTTAGAACATGTATGTCCAGTGTATCCTATCAAAAGCCTTTTCGGCGTCCAAAGCATGTAATAAGGAGGGAATTTTTTGTGAGTCTGTGTAATGAATTATGTTGATTAGTCTCCTGGTTGCGTTAGATGTTTGTCTACCTTTAATAAAGTCTGAGCAGGCTTGATCAAATCTGGGAGTATATTGGCCAGTCTGCACGCTATAATTTTAGCGTAAATCTTAATATCATTTTTTAATAAAGAAATAGGCCTGAAATTCTGTGGGTTGTCTGGATCTTTACCTGATTTGGGGATTGTTACGATTTAATGCTTGTAACATTTCAGAAGGTAATGAGGCCGAAGAAAACGCATCAGTGTATAGTTGGTTTAGATAAGGACTCAGGGTATTTTTAAAAAGTATTTGCTGGAAAATCCATCTGGTCCCAGACTTTTGCCATTTTGTAGTTTTTCTATTGTTCTGTTTATTTCATTTATTGTTATAGGGGAGTTTAAGATACTTAATTGTGATTTCGAAAGAGTGAGTAAGCGAATTTATGATAAAAATGCTTGTATGTTTTCTATAGAATGTTGGAGAGTGGATTTGTCTTGATTTAGATTGTAAAGCAAATCGTTATGCAAATGAATTTGCTATTTCTTGAGGATTAGTGATTTTAGTTTTATCTTTTGGGTTGATAAGATACAGAATTTTTGTTCTAGTATGCAGGGATTTCATTTTATAAGCTAGGTATCTCCCTGCTTTGTTTCCATTAGAGTAGCAGTTGAGTTTTAAATCTTAGCATACGTCTATCAAATTGGTACGTTAGTAAGGAGCGTAATTTGTTCCTTAGTCTGGAGAGTGTATTCAAGGTGGTGCGATCGACTTGAGCTTTATTTTGTGTTTCTAGTTTGCGAATATCCTATAGCAAAGGACTATAGTAAGTCATTAAGCTGTTTATTTCTTTGCTTTTTAGCTTTAGCGCACATTTGTAAAATTATACCACGTATATATGCTTTGTGAGCGAACCAAAGGGTGCCAGAGTTTGATACAGATTGCAAATTTATATGGAAGAACTACTCAAGATGTTTTTCAAGTATCAAGTTATTGTTGGGGATTTTTGAAATGGACAAATTTGCACGCCATAGGTTGTGTGGTTTGAATAAGTGGTTATCCGAAATAGTAATTGAAACCAGCACATGGTCTGACCACGTTACATTGCCTTTGTTAACATGTGGTAACATTTTGCAGTAGTCAATTTATCTACTAATATAAGGTCAATTCTCAAATAAGATTGGTGTCTAGCCGAAAAAAACGTGTAGTCTTTCACCTGCATGTTGACACCTCCAAACGTCATAGACCTCTTCATTTATTAACTACCTGCCGACCGCAGATAGCCGAATGACGGCTGCACTGCGGCCGGCCAGTTCTGAGTGGACGTCATATGACGTCCTCCCAGAACGTGCTCTGGGGCGCGCTCCCGGCGATCTCCGTGATCGCTGTGTCCTACGGACACAGCTGATCACGTGATGTGGTAAAAGGCCAATCACAGCGGCCTTTTACCACGTGATCAGCGGTGTCCAATGACACGCTGATCAGAGGGAAATGCAAGTGCCGGTTCCCGGCTGCACTTTCCTCACGCTGTCAGATCGTGAGGAAAGTACTGCCGAGAACCTGCAGTTGTCAGAGCGGGGATCGACACCGATCATCAGGGCACTGATGATCAGTGCCCTGATGATCGGTGCCCAGCAGTGCCACCCACAAGTTCCGCCCACCTGTGCCCAGAAGTGCCACCTACCTGTGCCCAGCAGTGCCACCCACCTGTGCCCATCAGTGCCACCCACCTGTGCCCACCCACCAGTGCTGCCCACCAGTGCCACCCACTAGTGCAGCCCAGCAGTGCTGCCAGTCAGTGCCACCAGTCAGTGCCCAGGGGTTGTGCCAGTCAGTGCCGCCAGTCAGTGCCCAGCAGTGATGCCAGTCAGTGCCGTCTATCAGTACCCATCATCAGTGTCACCTATCAGTGCCGCCTATCAGTGCTGCATATTAGTGCCGCCTATCCGTGACACCTCATTAGTGCGGTC